TATTGCAAGATTTTAATCCATGGCCAAACGTTTGGCATTTGAAGCATCGAAGTGGAGTGGGGACATACACCTCCACTCCAATATTCATGTAGCCAGCTTTGATAGATGTAGGAAATGTACTTCGTGAAAAGTCAAACAGATAGGTGTTTGTTTGAACAACATCTCCATGTTGCTTCCTGGTAAACCTTTTTACGACAGTAACACCTTGCTCTCCAAATTCTGCAACAATCTCTTGCTCTGACATGTCAGAAAGACAACGGGCCCAGTCACGCACAATGCCTCGGCAAGAGTTTAGTGTTCTGTGCTCAGACACAGCAACCTCAATATCGGCAAATAATTTGACAGATAGTAGATTGAGAGATTGCTGGCTCTTTGCACATTCAACCAGAAGGGAACCACTACGTTGACGAGTCACATTCTTCACCTCTCCACTAATTCCTGAAATGACTTTTAATATAGCAAATGGATTGAGTTTGATTGGCTGTTTATCAAGGGTCTCTATTACTAGGAATCAAGCCCAGGTATCAATCTGTCGAGGTACATCATCAGATTCTGTATCAACTTCTAATTTTCTCTTTGGACGATTGGAACAAGACAATTGTAGTGACATGGTGAAAGGAAAACAGCTCAGCACCACTGCTCCCCACCCACCATCTAGTGTCAACAAGGACAGTGTTATATTGCATTGGATCTCCAGAATGCAAACATCAGGCATACAGGGGTGTTATACTCCAGCTAATATGACATGAATAGCTACATTTGTCTACAAAATTTATTTCAGTCTGTTTCCGCCCCTAACAATATACTGGAGTCGTATAGAATACAGCGGTCAATCTTTACAGATTGGCAGCAGAGTCAACGCCTTCTGGCATAAGACTCCAGGTAACTTGTTACATAAATAATTTCTGAGTTCAAACATGTTATATAATGGTAAAGATCAAACAATACATTTTTATAAATCACGAGTGTGCATACACAATTTTATGCACAGGGCTTGGCATGACCAGCCGAATGATAGGATCGGATCCATTCCACCAACCGTCTAGGTGAAGAAAGGGTCGAAGTGGGGTGTGGTCGAAGTGGCAAAAGGAACACCGGTTCCTAGCCGGTACCCAAAACCACCAGACTCAAGTCCTCCACCGACACAGGGGCGCAACACACGGCAAACGAGTTGCCCAATTCGACCAGCAATCGGGTGCTGATGACACATTCTCGTCTTCCCCGGGCCACTACTGTTACATTTTAGATCCAGACTGTTACAGAAACATTAAACTCAGAATCTAGGTAAACATACATCCACCAACCTTTCGGTTCAATGCAAATTTTGTAAAACTTAAAGAGATTGTTTCAAGAACCTATTACAATTCAATAACACCGCGTCACAAGATGTTCTTTCAAATTGTTAAAATCCAATCCACTACTGCAACAACTAAAAGTCTCCAGCAAAAATCTGTAATTCAGTGAAATCTTTAGCAGTTTTTGTGAAATAGTTTTTAATGAGAAATGTGAAAGTGAAATAAATTATAAGGAATTAAACACTTAATCTCTAAAACCTTTTCTCACAACATTAAATCAGTTTTCACTACTGCTACATTTTGTGTTACCACTGTTACAAAAAGCAAAAACATTTATGTCATGTAGTTTAAACAATTATGTCAAACAAAACCTTGTTTTTTCAACACAGCTATGAAAATTTATACATTTAATACTCCCTTCTCTGGATAGTGTTGGTCTTGATTTTGTTTTGATAAACAGCAAAATGCAAGGGTCATAAATTGTCGAGATGTATATTTTTAAAATGACATGTTTTAACATGTACAAACATTCGAATATATAACAAAACTAGGTTATGTACTTTTGGATTAAGGGGTTTATTTTCGAAGCATTATTTCTGAAAATGACTAGAGGCTTACTTGCATGATGTAGATTCTCTTATTTTGTCAGTATATTTAATCGATTTCATGGATAATGTTGTTGCAACAGATGATATGCATGCAATGGAGGATGAGAAAAATCGACAGCGTTGAAGACTGAAGCAAGATTTTTAGACACAGCGCTTGACATGCGACATGAACTTGAACTTCACTAACTACATTCCCATATAGTCTCATGAATATCATTCTTCATTATCAAGAGCTCGATTTGTAAGGGAACACAGAAGAACGGCTAATTTTGAATACTTTGCATAGTTTAATAGATTGAATTGACATCCGTAATCATTGTAAATTGGTATTTTCATTAAAACACTGAAGGGGGTAAATTGTCCATAAAATTGAGTAAGTTGGGTGGATTTAAAGAGGAGTAACGCGTGATAGTGAGATCCATGCCGCTGTAAATGTCATAACGCACTGACGTGCCGAATGTTTTGTATAACAACTACTTATAAGTAGACGTTATGCAAATTCTTCATGATGATACAGGACGTTTTAGCAAACTAGAAATACAGGAGACCAGTGAGACCGCCCCATCTGTTTCATATTTAGATCTATGCATAAAAATTTAGAGTGACGGAACACTCTCCACAAGACTGTATGACAAGAGGGGTGACTTCAACTTTCCAATAGTCAACTTTCCCTTCATTTCAAGCAATATGCCAGCAGCTCCAGCCTTTGGTGGTTACATTTCACAACTTTTGAGATACAATCGAGCATGCTCTTTCTACCAAGATTTCAAAGAGCGCCATACAACTCTTGCTCAGAAGTTGTTGATCAAAGTCACAGCATTCAAGGCCACAGAAAAGCTTTAACAAAGTTTTATGGTAGACACGAGGAGGATATTTCCACATTTGACGCATCGGTGACAAAAATGATGTCCGATGCAATCCCCTATTTTGACTTGTACCAGGAGAACAGTTGACTTGCCTTTGCATGTGTTTGCGACGGGTACCACCGGTAGGGCAGGATACGCTCGCCTTTCCGCGAACACCTGGTATCATAAGTATTTGAGTGATTGATAAACACATGCTCATCATAATGTCGGAATCGTACAATCGAATCGAGATTTCTATTGGATATGGAAATGGTTTTGTCGCTTTATTTATTAGTATTATGTACAGATTAAAATACAAATATGCAGCAAAGAGGGTTTGGATGATCCTAGCAGTCAGGTTGGTTAGGCTCCTCATCAGCTCAGGGCCCTTGCCCCCTCTACACGCAGCCCAGAAAGCGAATGGGACTTCTCCCAGGAAGCGCTGCCTACTCAAACCCACCCAGAACATTTCAGAGAATGAGAAGACTCTCCAACACTGCAGCCTTCTGCATTACCCAGATTGTCAGAACGGCTGTATTCCTGGTAGCAAACCCGGGTACTCTCACAATGTCAGTCAACAGATTGGGAGAGTACCAAACCTAAGGCACCGAGAACAATGGGGAGTCGCACAACTTGGTACTTGGGATGCAAGCGTGACATTTCGAAAACGAGGTCTGCATATTTGCCAAGATTTTCCTGAATCTTGTCAATCACATAAGTGTCAAAAGGGACAGAACATTAAATGATATAAATGATTTCATTGGATTTATCAAAAAGAACAAGATCAGGTTTGTTGGCCTGGATACGTCTGAGGCTGTTTACGGGCCTATTTCAAAGAATTTTATGTTTATCATTTTCCATGACGCCCTCTACATATTCCGGGTCGTACCATGGATGGACTTCTGTGTCAAACCTACAAGCATTGCGAAGACGGTAATAAAAGGATCGGGTTTATTATTATTATTATTATTATTATTATTATTATGATGATGATGATGATGATGATGATGATGTAACAGAGACGGTACAACGAAACGGCAAAATTCATCCATATCTGTAAAACACCATTAATATTTCAATGGATTTATCATGAAGAAGTATCCTTTTCTTAAATGACATCAAAGAGATGATGGAAACATAACAGGATTCCATATAGAATATATCAAAGACACTGTGTGGTGGAAACCAAATGGAATTTTTTTAAGAAATTGTGCAGCGGATACCCTTTGAATTCGGAATGTCTTGGTCCTTTCTAGGTGTATTGGGAAATTAAGTTTCAGGTACAAAAAACTGTGCCCTGGAGGAGCCATACCAAAAGAAACTATCAAATTGGGGTGTGTCATCCATTGACACATGTTCCTGGCCGGGTCATATCAACGTTAAAAGATGGTACTGGCAGTTACCTTTCCTGGCGCTCGCCATTGAGTAATTAAGTCGGGTCGGAATCAGTATTATGTGTCTGAGTAGGGTATCGATGTTAAAACAGCGGCATACAAGCAGGCACACACACGTGCATGCACGTCTCTACATTAGTACAATAATCACAAACGCAATGTTCAACCCCATTTCACACCTACCTACCCTTAACATTAGTATCTTGAAACTGGTGGCTTCAGCCGAGGTTTCCACACACTATTTGGTATAAATAAAATTACAAATATGCGTGGTTTCATTCACTGCAGCTAATACTCAATAAAATCCCAGGTCTCTAAATAAGAAATGCTTGTAATGACGAGAAGCATCAACGATTATTGGTAGCACTATTTTAACACTAGTCCTTTAATTGCTCAGGAAAAATAACGTCAAGTTGGAATGCAGCAATGTTATCTTACACAGGACTCATATATTCCCGAACCGCCTAGTTACTGTCGTGCAATAGGGAAGAAGACAATTAAATCAAATTGTGTATATGTTAATGACTACAATTTTCATATCCGTTACCTGAAAGCCGCGTTTTTTAAACTTTCACAGTCTACAATCAGATTTGGTCTAACATTCGTTTTACAATTACTCATGGCTTGTACATGATTAAGCATGACAATTATGATCGCTCGTAAGTCGAGTCCAATACTCCCGTTTTCTACGTCATATGTTGCTGTGACAATGTATATACTAAATCTGTTACATATTAATTCCTTAAGACGTGAACTGTGTCCCAGAAGCAATCTTTTGATTGATGACCTAGTGGGTTGGTGTCGGGTGAGAACAGAGCATAAATCTGAAATCTGCTACACAATCCGCTGACTGTTGGAGCACGTGACTGCCACTGTGCATTTATTTATGATACAGAGTCAGAGTCGGCGGACCATCACACCACTAACGACAATGGATGGGGAATACAGCATATACACGGGCGTTAAGAACACCTTTGGAAACGTTGACTATGTACTTTTCGGTTCGTTGTTAGCTGTTTCGACAGGTATTGGTGTATTTTACGCTTTTAAGGACAAACATAACGTAAACAGCAAGGACTATCTATTAGGTGGGCGCCAAATGAATATTGTGCCCGTGTCGTTGTCAATTCTTGTTACATCTTTCTCGGCAACAACGTTGTTGGGGATGCCTGCTGAAGTATATAATTATAACACTATGATTTGGTGGCTGTGTATCTCCGCCATGATCGGCCTCGTCATTTCATCCGTAGTCTTTGTTCCCTTCTTTTACAACCTCAACATCACAAGCATCTATGAGGTAAGACAAGCGTTCATGTATTATCAATTTTGTTATGCATAGCGATGATACTTTTGAAATTACGAGTACATTATGTCATTCTAACGGAGATAGTTTGGTAGCATGCAGTGGGGAATTGACCACGAAACTCTCAGAAAAAATAGAAAGACACTTGATCCAATTTTGTTTATCGGAGTTGAACAAAATATCTTGTATCAGGCTATCGCAGATAAAAAATGTGTCGCATAATCATTATTTGCTTATTACTTGTGCCAGTCCGTAAAGATCCGGGGTAGAATTGGTCTTCGGCAACCCATGCTTGCCGTAAAAGGTGAATTGATGAAAGTATTTGATGACGTTATATTTCTGTGCCAATCGAGGGGAGCGTCGTAGGGTTTCTCTTCTCAAATGATTAATTAGGTAGGAGAAACTGTAACAGTGTTCTGTACAAGGCCATGTCAAGGCAAAAGGCTCTGACTGCTTCACAATATATCAGGTCAGGTCAGTCGTATGTATTTATGTGAGAGAAATGCCAAACATAACATAGACATTTATCACTTTTCCATGTTTATGTCATTCTTTCAAGAAACACGGAAAGAATCACAATCAACACTTATTAGGAAACATATCACCAAGGAATCCGTATTCACAAAGTATTGTAACCGTAAGATCCGGGTTGGATTTATAGGTCTTCAGCAGCCCATGCTTGTCGTAAAAGGCGACTGTATTTGTCGTAAGAGGCGACTGACGGGATCGAGTGGTCAGGCTCGCTGACTTGGTTGATGCATGTCATCGTATCCCAATTGCGTGGATCGATGCTCATGATGTCAAACACTGGATTGTCTGGTGCAGACTTGATTATTGTTGCTGCGTTTAACAACATACAAACAAACCTGTTGCGCCACTATAGTCTCTCCCTATGACGTAATGAATTGTAACCTCGTTGTATGACGTCATGGCATTGACTTTGTCAAAGCAATACCCGTGCTTTGGGGTTTCACCAAAGTGATAAACGTCTAAGACCTGCATCACTTCGGACTTTCGTGGTATAACTGGAATACTGTTCAATGCGGTGTTTTACCTCGCTAACTCACACTGGCACTGACGCTATCAGTGTAACGTGTTTCAATTGAAGAATCGTCTAAGATACATCAAGATCTAGACATTAGGAAACTTAACATGCTGTGAAGCACCGTAATTGGATTAATACATGTTCCCCCTGAAAGCAAACAAATTGTATTTTTGTTACATAATATGGTCAAAACGTCAACTTTCAAATCTTTAAGAATATTTTTTTCCGAAACTTTATGAAGCTACTTTGGTCTATTACGTGACTTACATGACATAAATGTTTTCAAACGATTAAATTGTTTAAGCACGTCCAGAAACTTAACAACTGTGGTAGGACACATATATTCCTTAAAAATAACTTAAGAATTCTGATCATTTTCCGAGGAGAACTTTTAAGAATATCACAGTTATCGAGCTGAAATTTCGTGTTTATGATAATGATTATACGTCTCCAGAAGGTATTGTTTACCATATGACATCCATCTCATGCAACCAGATAACATGGATGTATTATTAACATGGAGTGCATATGTTCAGGGTGACCTACAGTGCTGTAAACCATTTATAATTCTTTTCACCAAGAAATGTTTTTTTCAGTATCTAGAGATGAGGTTTGGAACGGAAGTGCGGGTTCTTGGATCGATTCTTTTTGTCATCAAAGTGGTAGGTTGTTCTTTGATTAACCTACTCCTGCAGAGCTATTGCAGACAAATGACTTTCGGGATCTCAATGAGTAATAGTATAGAATTGTGGTAGAATGTAACTTTCTGAAACATATGTTTTTTTAATGGTAGACATGTGGAGGACATTTCCCAGTTTGATGCATCAGCGACAAAATGACGCCCCTAATTGTCTTGTAACTTGATTTCCCCTGTTGTGGGTGAACAATTAGCTTGCTATTGCATGTGTTTGTGACGGGTTCCACCAGTGAGGCAGTAAACCTTCACCTAATCGTGAACACCAGGTGTCATCACCATTTGATAGTGATTCATAAACACATGTTTTATGGTATAATCGGAATCGTACAATGAACTCTGCTTTTAATAGATTTTTAAAATAACTTCTCGTTATTATTAATAATATATTAATACAAAATAGTTAGATCATTTTAAAGTTGTTGTTTTGCCCTTCGTATGGTAAATATTGATACAGACTGCAGTTGAATGAAATTGTCGATGTTTTCCAAGTATTCATGCTGTCATCAACATATTCCTTACATAGGCTCGGACAACAGCGTAATGTGCTACTTGATTTACAGAACATTTATGGGACGACATAAAGTAAACCGCACATAAACGCCTGTAACCGTGTCTGTGTCTCTTTCTTTCAGCTGCTGTACATTTCATTTGTCTTGTACGTCCCATCTCTTGCTCTCAGCGCAGGTAATGATGTTACGCATATGTCACACGCAGAAGTTATATTTCAACTTTACTGCATTCGAGTGTATTAACCTTGAAACTTTCAGTATAAATATATCAATAAATGTCCAATATTTGATGACGTTATAATTCTGTGCCAATCGTGGGGAACTTCGTAGGGATTCTCTTCTCAAATGATTTATTAGGTATGGGAAACTGTAACAGTGTTTTGTACAAGGCCATTTCAAGGCAAAGGTCTCGGACCTCTTCACAACACTCTAGTCAGGTCAGGTCAGTCGTATGTATTTATGTGAGAGAAATGCCAAACATTACATAGACATTTGCCACCTTTCCATGTTTATGTCATTTTTTTTAAAAAACACGGAAAGAATCACAATCAACACTTATAAGGAAACATAAAGGGCAAAAAAACCATATTCACATATTATAGTGTAACCGTTAAGATCCGGGTTAGATTTTTGGTCTTCAGCAGCCCATGCTTGCCGTAAAAGACGACTATGCTTGTCGTAAGAGGCGACTAACGGGATCGAGTGGTCAGGCTCGCTGACTGGACTAATGCATGTCATCGTATCCCTATTGCGTGGATCGATGCTCATGATGTCAATCACTAAATTATATGGTCCAGACTCGATTTTACAGACCCCGTCATATAGCTGGAATATTGCTGAGTATGGCGTTAAACAACAAACAAACAAACAAACAAACAAACACAAACTATGCTGGAGAACTGTCAGTATATTATTCTGACAAACGCAATTGTTCAATTGTTAAATGATAATACCAAAATTTTATTTAATAGAGAAGAGAAGCATTTGAACGTTCAGTATATAGATTCATTGAAAGAATTTTAAAACTCGTTAAAACTAAACTGCCGGGAAAAAGAAAGTATATACTTAACACTGGACATGCATTTTTAACGTTATCAAGATGTAACTAGGCTGAAAACAGTCGCCGAAGGTCCAAAACACAACTATGACACTCGTATCTAATGCATCACCTTCGAAAAACCATTTCTTGTTTGTTTCATTTTTAGCCACCATCATACAAGGGTGTATACTTTGTTTTGCAAGGCAGTTTATGTCTCTTCGGATTATTGCTTCATTCGTTGATGTAGGCATAGTTGGGTGCATGCATGGATGGATACATGTATTATTGCATGTCTTTTGAATGAAGGATGGATGCACAGCTGTATGGAACAATGCATGCATGAACCTTGTATCGGTGGATGAACATATCCTTGGGTGGATGGATGATTACATGGATGGACGGGTAACTGCGTAGGTGGAAAAAGACATGGATGGCTGAATAGATATGTGGATAACAGTTGAATGAACATATGAACATACACATTGATGGCTGAATAGATGAATATGTGGATGACAGTTAAATGAACATATGGACAGACACATGGATGGATGAATATATGGATGACAGTTAAATGACCATATGGACAGACACATGGATGGATGAATATATGGATGACAGTTAAATGAACATATGGACAGACACATGGATGGATGAATATATGGATGACAGTTAAATGAACATATGGACAGACACATGTATGGATGAATATATGGATGACAGTTAAATGAACATATGGACAGACACATGGATGGATGAATATATGAATATATGGATGACAGTTAAATGAACATATGGACAGACACATGGATGGATGAATAGATGAATATATGGATGACAGTTAAATGAACATATGGACAGACACATGGATGGATGAATATATGGATGACAGTTAAATGAACATATGGACAGACACATGGATGGATGAATAGATGAATATGTGGATGACAGTTAAATGAACATATGGACAGACACATGGATGGATGAATATATGGATGACAGTTAAATGAACATATGGACAGACACATGGATGGATGAATATATGAATATGTGGATGACAGTTAAATGAACATATGGACAGACACATGGATGGATGAATAGATGAATATATGGATGACAGTTAAATGAACATATGGACAGACACATGGATGGATGAATATATGGATGACAGTTGAATGAACATATGGACAGACACATGGATGGATGAATATATGGATGACAGTTAAATGAACATATGGACAGACACATGGATGGATGAATATATGAATATATGGATGACAGTTAAATGAACATATGGACAGACACATGGATGGATGAATAGATGAATATATGGATGACAGTTAAATGAACATATGGACAGACACATGGATGGATGAATATATGGATGACAGTTAAATGAACATATGGACAGACACATGGATGGATGAATAGATGAATATGTGGATGACAGTTAAATGAACATATGGACAGACACATTGATGGATGAATATATGGATGACAGTTAAATGAACATATGGAAAGACACATGGATGGATGAATAGATGAATATGTGGATGACAGTTAAATGAACATATGGACAGACACATGGATGGATGAATATATAGATAACAGTTATATGAACATATGGACAGACACATGGATGGATGAATATATGGATGACAGTTGAATGAACATATGGACAGACACATGGATGGATGAATATATGAATATATAGATGACAGTTAAATGAACATATGGACAGACACATGGATGGATGAATATATGAATATGTGGATGACAGTTAAATGAACATATGGACAGACACATGGATGGATGAATATATAGATAACAGTTATATGAACATATGGACAGACACATGGATGGATGAATATATGGATGACAGTTAAATGAACATATGGACAGACACATGGATGGATGAATATATGAATATATAGATGACAGTTAAATGAACATATGGACAGACACATGGATGGATGAATATATGAATATATGGATGACAGTTAATGAACATATGGACAGACACATGGATGGTTGAATATATAGATAAAAGTTACATGAACATATGGACAGACACTTGGATGGATGAATATATGGATGACAGTTAAATGAACATATGGACAGACACATGGATGGATGAATATATGAATATATGGATGACCGTTGAATGAACACATGGATGGATGGATGCAATGATATTGAATGCTTTGGTTGAATGCATGTTCTGATGGAAGAGCCATTATGGATGGATCCATAATAGTTTAGGCGCAGTGCATTGATGTGCAACACTTGAGATTCTTGTTTTCTTTTTTTAAAAGCAACTGAATTCAACTTGTGGGGCTCTGTGGTTGCGGTAGGGACGGTCGTAACTGTCTATACAACAATAGTAAGTGATATCCAAGTATTCATTCTCAATCAGAAATAACACGTAATGACAATTAAATTATTGAGTGAGTGAGTTAGGTTGAACGCCGGTTAGAACAGTATTTCGGTTATATCACGACGTGTCAGCTTGATGTTGGAGGAAAGACCGACAATTAAATTATTATTACATATCCACGGATCTCCTGGTATCATTACTATTTCAAGTGATGAGGGTCGGTCGGGTAGCCTTGTGGTAAAAGCGTTCGCTTGTCACGCTGAAGACCCGGGTTCGATTCCCGACATGGGTACAATGTGTGAAGCCCATTTCTGGTGTCCCCCGCCGAGATATTGCTAGAATTTTGCAAAAAGCGGCGTAAAACCAGACTCACTCACTCACTCATAGTGATTAATAAACACATGTTTATGGTATAAAGTCGGAATCGTACCATGAACTCTGCTTTTAGCAGATATTCCTCATGATTATTGAAACAGTTTTGTCGTTTTCATTCTACTGACCCTGGATATATATGTGGACGTCCTCAGCCAGACACGGCCATTATCGACTTGTTTTCTTCTAGGGTGGCATGAAGGCAGTCTTGTGGACTGACACGTTCCAGTCTGTGATTATCGTAGGAGGTTTGACAGCTGCGTTAGTCCAAGGATCAAATGCTGTGGGAGGCATTCTCGAGGCATGGGGGGTGGCTGAGGAGCACTCTAGGATATATCTTACCGAGTATATAATCATCATTATGTTGTATGGTATAAGTTTGATATACTTCTTGAATTCATTATCCCATTTACATATTTGTGTTTTCATTTTACGTTAAATTCCATCTGTCTCACTGGAATATGTATGTAAAGACGGAGCAATATCTATTGCCGTAGGGAACGCAGAAACGCAGTCAACGAGGTCATTTAGCCTACCCACCATATCCAACGTAGCCACCTCTTACAAACAATAGACCTGGCTCCCAAGGGATACTTTTTAGTTCTATTTCTATTTTGATGTTTCACTGGCAACAATGCATGAAACATTGCTACTTTAGCCATGGTTACGCAGCGTAACGAGAGAAGGTGTGTTATTTGATCCATATGTTATTTATATGATGACAGTGACATGGTATATGTCGAATCTAGTTCAGTATAAATTAAAGTCTTATGAAGGCTGTGAGAGATGGAGATTTAGTTTATGTCTTTGCTGTAAATCACATCCGCGAGTGAAACATTGGCAGGAGCATCCTTTGTAATGTTTGGCCAAATCTTCTACAGCTTCAACATCGACCCTTCTACACGCCATTCATTCTGGTCTTTAGTCTTGGGTGGAGGTTTTCTCTGGATTAGCCTGTTCGCAGACCAAGTTCAAATTCAACGTGTCATGTCATGTTCCTCAGTAAAGGCTGCCAAACTGTAAGTGTACTTGTTTCTTATTCAGTGTCTATTAACCAACTAGTCCTTGTTTTTGCATCAGTATAAATGTGAACATAAATTCGTAAGTAATCTTTTTCAAACAATTCATAACGTAAATGGTTGTCCATATTGTTTTACATACAAAGAAACACGTGGCAGACCGTTTCTATCTCGCAGTCCATAATATCATAACCTATTACAAATTGCTTACTTTACAAAACTGTATTAATATACCTCTCAGATCCATGTTGCTTTGTGCACCATTCCTGTTCATGATCATGTCCATCTGTTGCTTAAAACATAGAATGCCACCCATGTCGATCCGTGTTTTTCAGGCAGTCCATAATTTCATTACTTCTACAAAATGTGATTAATATACGGTGATCTTGCTTCGTTCCAGATCCATGTTGATTTGTGCACCATTCCTGTTCATGATCATGTCCATCTGTTGCTTGCTCGGTGTGATCATGTTTGCCTTCTACAAGGATTGTCATCCCGTTGGCTTCAATAACCTGATATCAAGGACAGATCAGGCAAGCATATATTTTGTTATTGGGGCGGTTAGGTAGCATTATGATAAAGGTGTTGGCTCGTCGCGCAGAAACCCCGGGTTCGAATCCCTACATGGATGCAATGTGTGACCAAAACCTTGGAGTCACCTGCCGTGATATGTCTGGAATATTGCTATGAGCGGCCCACAAATAAACTCAGCAACTCGCCAAACTACGCTGTTGTCAATAATAATATTTGAAGATGCCTTGTTTGGCATATGCTGCTATTGAGCTCGGCGGGAGAAGCTGTTTTTGCGGAAAATGAAAAAAAAAGCTATTTTTCTACGATAATTGGTGAAAGAGTTGTATTTACCTATAATTCTTATCCAATATAACTACTGTTAAAGCATTGAGTTTTTTAAAAGGAGTTCCTTGAAACAAAATTTCCATGAAAAAGGTATGTAAGGATAATTAATATATTATGTTAAGTTTGAAGATACAGTGTACAGATTTCTCATATTTTTAATATGCAGATTGTTGCTCATGTGTCATTGATTTCAGTGTCCATATAGCAAGATATCAAGGGGCATTAATTAATTCGGACCCATGTCTCAACCAGACACATTTCGACCCCGCACAAGCAAAAACAAAGATAATAAGGGCACTATCATATGTGTGTGACTTCAATTGCCTTCTGGTGCTACTTCAGATTCTGCCTCTGTACATCATGGACATCCTGGGCCATCTTCCTGGGGTCCCTGGTATCTTCATTTCCTGCATCTTCAGCGGCAGTTTGAGGTACATGTTTGTGAACATCATCTCTTTAAATCTTGACATAACACATCGTATTCTCGGACAGAGTGACAAGCAACATGTACATATTAATTTACGAAAGTGGTTAAAAGTTGAAATTAACATTGACAATATGCATAGAGTATGTAAAAAAGTTAACGTTGAAACCAAGATCCATGAAAGCGTAGACGAATTGGAATTGCATTTTTCGAGGAGAACAAGTTGTCCATTTTATATTATGTTTTGTACAACATATGTACACAAATAAAGGCGCCAAAAATATTTCACACCGGCAGACAGATCTAGAAAAATGTTTTGTAAAACACGTGTAACGCGTCTGTTGACATATCTCATAAATGAAAACGACAAAACCAATTCAGTTCAGTACAATTAATTTCTTTAAAAAACAACGGTGGTACAAGAGTATATATGTCCGGGTGTTTCTATTTGCAAACGAATCGGATATTTGTACAAATTATGTTAAATCAAAGAGAGGACATTTCAACCGCTCTCGAGTGTTGTTTGATCGTAGTTGCAGCATTTAGGGACAAGGTGAGGCTTTCCGGAGAGTTTGTGGTGAGCTTGTTGGGTGCATTTTTCGGATTTGCATCCGCATCGGTGGTCGAGGTGGTGTCCGGCGCGGTTCCCTGTTTTAGCTTGTACAAAATGTATTTGTTTGGTTGGAGCTTTACTTTGCAGCTGTATGTGTTTGTGGCGGGTGCCGCCAGAGAGGTGTCTTGTGAACACCTCATCGCTGACGTCATCGATCTTTGATGTTACTAAATAAATGTACGCGCTTAATACGCATTTGTGATATGGTCGGAGTCGTAAAATTAACTTTGCTTTTGGTATAGATTTCTTATACTTGCTGAAATAGTTTGTTCGCTTGTATTTTCAGACATATAGATGACCTCATTCCTTTCATTTCTCCACCTCATCTATCCACCGGAGTTGGAAATCGAAACGGTCATACCTAAGAAATACCAAATGTCTTATCCAGATCCGATATTGAAAATGATGTCGGCCTCTGTACTAGGTCGTACGACAAGAGGGATTATTTCGATTTTTCAATCGTAAATGTCCTCTTCATGCCGTGCAATATACCATCAGCTTCAGCATATTGTGTCTATGTTTTGACAGACATTTTGATGAATGCATTGGCCTGACAGGTCTCTTGTCTCTGCTATGATCATGGGATTTTCACACTTTCATACGGGCACTTTCTTTTTAAATGAAAATGTGAGTACCGAGTGCAACCGGTGGAGCAGGATATGCTGACACCGTTCACTTACACCTAGTGTTACCACAGAGTTTCAGTGACCCATTCATAGCATTTGCATTGAATATGAATATGACGTTGTATGTTACACATGTTATCAGATCTTATATTATGTTTCATAACGTCATACCTTCTGACAAATTTGTGTGATGTTTTACAACGTCACGACTGCTGATGTATAATGTTTAATAAAATTTATGTACGTTAACAGCTCACTTTCCTCTGCTCTGAACGCCCTGGGAGCTGTCATACCACGTGACTTAATACAACCATGCTGCTGTGGTCGTATCAACGACAGATACCTCACAATCATGTCCAAACTAGTGGGTAGGTTACGTCATCGTGATTATCCACACATATCATAAATCGATCTGACGTATATAACAGAAAACGTCAAATAATCCTTTCGATACCATCATACAAACGTCGAATTATCTCCGTTATGTTTTATGTTTAACTTCTTTTTGTGTGTTGTTTAACGCCGCACCCAGCAATATCTCATCTTAATGACTGAAACCTTCTAGTAACAAGATGTTTTCTGCCTCCATTCCAGTGCTTGGATGTGGGTTTGGATCAATTGGTTTGACATTTGTTGTGTCACGGCTCGGCTCGGTGTTACAGGTTTGTGTTTTTGCCAAATAAATTCATACATGCATTTAAATCCAATTTCTTTATATAACCTGTACCAACAATATGCATATGCATGTATATGATTACACTTTGAATCGCCGATATGACGCTTGCACGGCATGATCATACTTAATCCACATTTAATTGAATCCTCATTTCAGGCTACCTACACCATAGGGAGCATAACTAATGGTCCGCTGTTTGGTCTCTTTATTCTTGGAATGTTTTTTCCGTCAGCCAATAAAATGGTGAGCAATCGAGTCAGTTATTCTTGAAGTTCAAGTCAGTGAGAAAATCTGATCTTCCTTTTTATTCTATAATAAATTTATTTTCCTTTATCCTGTTCATTTAATTGACAGTTATATAACCTGAAAACCCACGTATGCATTTAATTACAATTAAAAATCATTTGAGAAAAAAATCATTTTAGAACCAGTATGCTTTAACGTAAAAGCGGATTAGGAGCTGCCATAATGCATAAAGAATTTCATTTGTTTCATTTTCAACCATTTCCTTTTATTGGGGACATTCCAGGGGGCTTTTGTAGGGTCTATGACGTCACTGATTATGATGACTTGGATAGGGATGGGGGCATTTATCACAAGGGCGGCATACACCCCGGTGTCCCGAGTGTACACAGACGGCTGTAATTGGAACATCACGACGGATGTACCGTATGTGATCACTACAACTCCTATGTCTACAACAATGAATATATCAAGCGTCCCGGAACCCAGTACTGCAGATTATAGGTTGGTATAGATCAATATCTATCTCTCCCACCCTAGGGTGATTAATTTGTGTTTATCAGACCAGTTGTATTTGTTTCAATACAAGATGAGAAGTGCGCTTTGCGTAATAATTAATAATGATGGCGTCACATCCTCCGCGAGTTTTTCTCAGGACACTTTAATGTCTTGCTGCTTATGTTGCTCACTACTTCATTTGCCCATTTATACATATGTGTCCTTGTGAATATAAGGAGTGCTAATTCAAATCAATAGACAACTTTAAAACTGTTATCTAAGTGAACTAATCATCTGTTTTCAGCAGTGGCCTGCTTCGATTATATTCAATGTCTTACATGTGGTACATGCCCCTTGCTGTAATAATCGAAGTTGTCGTTGGTTTAATCGTCAGCTATCTAACGCGTAAGTATTGACAAGTCAATGTATAGATGATAAATACGAGAATATGAAGAATTTAAGAAAAATATATCGTCCTGACTACATTAGAATCTTCCTGATTTGGGGCGTGTTTTGTGATTGGTTAAGGTTTGAGACCCGCATTTATTGTTTTAATACGTACATATTGAGAGTAAAGATATATTATTATTTAAACTATATACATGTATTCCTTTTCTTTTCCAGGGCCTCTTTTCACAGAGCAGTCAAATCCAATGTTGATTTGCCCGCTCCTTGACTACCTTTGTCCATGCCTACCTCAGAAATTCAGAGCCTATTGGCGCTCTAAACCAGTATGTGTTGTTTGCTATCTCAATTAACAAAAAGTCATCCTTAGATATAAGTTTGTTTGTCCATAACCGACCTTCAGTTTAAGATAAGGGTAGGTTGGAGTGTGTAAATTAACGAAGAATACATGACAGGCAACAGGTCTAAATTTCATATGCCTGGGGTTTTTTAAACTTGGTCAGGAGATAAACATTATTTTAAGTTGACGAATTACATTAATATAATGTTAAATTCAAAAAGTCCAAATATAGTTTTATTTTATTTAAGTCTTTGTCAGTACAATTTCTTAAATGTACTTGTTAGTAAGTTAGAAATATACGTTCACACCGAGAACGGTCTATCTTTCAGACTGATGCCTCTTCACTGACAAGTTCTGATCATACTTGCTGCACAGGCTGGAATGAGTATCGCAAATGTGACTGTGGCTGTGTCGTTGATCATGGGATCTTAGACACCTTCTTAGAAATGAATGAACTTACTCCTAGACCCTTCCATGTTGTATAGTACCTACATGTAGTGTGTTAATTACTGTTACATATAAGTTAGCTAGATACCACGTATGCGTCATGATGCATGAATGTGAAGTAAAATGCATTTCCTTCAATTGCTGGACCTATGAAAAGAATTATTTATAACCCAAAAAAACGAAAATACATTATGTCACAACGTGCTGGTTTCATGAAACTAAACAGTTTGTGTATGATTCGTTATTGGAGAATAGTTAACTCACAAGCATCTGTATAACTTTCATTGAGTAGTTCCAAAAGAAGGCAAAGTACTTTACAATATACATGCGTAGTTTATCCGACGACGTCTCTCATTTGATTACTGTTTTCCTTTCTGAACCGCAAACACTGGAAATAAGGAAGATAATGTTTTATTATCTGATAGTTAAAACATCTCACATTTGAAAATGTTATTCCAATAAGAGGTATACCATCAGACTAATTAACGCCTAAAAGTCACAATGCTTTGAAGGAGGAATTCAATTGATAAAATTAACAATTAATACTTATATGAGATACAACTTTATGGTTTTGTCCTTATAACAATTTTCACAGCAAATTATCATTATCTCTTGTCTCAAAAGGTGAATTTCTACATACCCTGCACGCACAAGTTAATCAGTATAAATACCAACTTTGAGTGTCCGTATCTTGTCCATTTAGTTTCAAAACAAATTCTTCATGCACTCGGTCATTGTTTATTGAAAGAGGAACGTCTCACAATGTTACAAAAATAATGGTCTCATGGCGGAAGAGCTTAATGCACTTCTTTTTTAATCATCGTTAATCTCAGTTGTTTGTGTCATCTTATGTACTTATTTACTGGAGTAGTTTTCTACACTGATATATTATTAACACCTGTCAGCACACTCTTGATTTCTAAAATGATTTATTTGAAAAATAATATTTTGTCAATTCATATTATCTAAATCCTGAGTTAATATTCCTGTGTGGATGCCACTGCACATATTTTAAGTGTACAGTTAAATATAATCTATGTGTATAATATTGACACATTTACATCATCGATATATACTTTATCATCGTACACATCATTTATTAATTAAAGTGTTTCAATTATATGGTTTTGATTCTACTGTTATTATTCCTGTTCTGGGGTGTATCATAGTCATGTTTTTTTATACCCTTTTCCTATACAAAGGTCACCCATTCCAAGTTAAAAGATGTTACCAAGTTAAAATATGTTGAACTTCCTTCATTCTGGATATTCAAAGGAATGGGGAACAAAATGATTCATTCGGTTCATTTTTTTAAAATGAAAAGAATTGGTTCCGAAATATGAAGTATTAATTATTTAAAATCTGGAATTCGAAGCCACCTTCCTTTAAAGTTGATGATGTGCTTGGTCATTTCAGTGTATACATGTATGGTTGATATGCATAGTTCGCCTTCTCTCCTATATATGTTCCTTCGTTAATACATATTGTTCTTTGTTTGTTTGTTTCTTTCTTTTGTTCTTTGGTCACAGTTTCTTGATATTGTCCTTCCAGGGCGAGGTCAGATGGGTTTAAGCAATACTTCTCACAGTTCGACTGGAATATGAGCATTCGAACATTGATATCAAAGAATATCAGAAATGTCAATATTTTAGGCCACTTTTATCCAATTTCTAGCAATATTCCTGAGGGCAACACTGACAAGGTTTTCCATAAATTATAACAAAGTGGGATGACAGGATCTTTCATCTGTGACTGTTTTATGTCCAACCATTTGTTTCTGTAGTCCATTAAATGAATATATCAAAGAGCACCTGACGGAAACATATTCTTAATACGTATTTTACTTCTATTTTATTCAATTTTGAGCTTTGGGGCTTTTCAGAAATAGACAGTTCTAGATGCGGCACCTTCATTCATACAAACCACATATAACAGACATTGTTCTTAATGTTTATTTCAATTCTAATTTATTCAATTTAGGGCGTTGTGGGTTTTCAAATGTAGATAGTACGTCCTACATTTCGCACCTTGTTTGATTTAAAGCACACACGACAGACATTGTTCTTAATGATTATTGCTGTGTTTTTTTAATATAGATAAGACGGTGCTTCACATCTTATCATATAAATATATATGAATGATTTAACTAAATGTACTGATCTATAAAACTATTACGTAATTTGTTTTTCTCATATGTAAAATCAGTGTGTGAGATGGGATGGCATGATTTTTACGCAATCTGAAACGATATGTTACGCTATAGACTCTAAAGTGCATGCGTCTCACTGTGTGGCGTTTGCGTGTACGAATCAAACAGGAAATAGCATTACGTCTGCTAGGTTAATAGAGAGAACGAATCATGGCCATACATTCCACAGGCCATGACGTCAAAAACAGCAGGTTAAGGCAACCTGTTGTGGGCAATAAAAAAATCTATTTAGAGGAATGTGACATGAATTAGATACACACGAGAGGAGAGAGCGACGTCCTGAGAGCGGTAGGTCGGTCACCTGTCACAACACAGCATGGAGAGGCATTTGTGCGCACCGTGGCTCATCAGTCATGTGAGGCTCCGCATTTCGCTGTACTGAGTTGCGTGCCTTAGGAGTGTCAGAAATCTTTGATCGTGAGTTAGAATCCCAGACTCTCACTGATTTTGTTGCTAGGTTTGTCAGCACCACGCCCGTGCTCATGGGTTTCAAGAAAGCGGTAAACGTCGAAGCTCTGCACCACTTCGGGCCTATTCCAAGGTTAAGCTGACACGCTGTCAATCTCATTAAAATCAGATCTTAGTTCTCGCTATCGCTTAACAAAGCTCTGAGGACATCCCATTACGGGTCACGTCAGAACGACCTTTCATACCACCAATCAAAGCGTGGTTACCAGATCATAAAAGTGCCAGTCGGAATGTGTTTTCTAATCATGCAAGCTCGAAAACGTTAACACGGGGTATTTGGAACGACAGTTGCGGTCCGTACGACTGATTCCGTCAAAATTACCGTTTATCTCTCCGTGGGCAGTATTACCATATAATCGCAACGATATATAAGCCATTCCGGAATGTTCGTTTGTTCAGTTTTCAAAATTTTAATCGAGAACTTTGTCAACATATTTCTCAAGAAATGGAAGTCGCCAGGTTGAAACGAGTGCCGTAAAGCTCGAGAAAGCTTCTTTCTTTTTGGCTGATGTTTCAGTTGGAGGTCAAGGTTCGCGAAAGGTCGTTCTGGCTTGACACGTAATGGGATGTCCTCAGATCTTTGTTTAGCGGCAGCGAGAACTAAGGTCTCATTTTGGTGAGATTGACACGCCGTCATATACCTGAATTAGTATTCAAAGAGTTTGTAACTCACATACTCTACATGACAAACAAATCCGGCGACGGCCCAACCCTCATGTCCCCCAAGAGATGGTAGACGTTGATCATAATGTTAATCACTGGTTTGTCTGGTCATGACGCGATTATTTACAGACCGCTGCCATATGGCTGGGGTAACAATAAAACAAAAACAATAGCTAAGACGGGAGGAATGGTAACGCCATTAGACTTACCAAGTGCCTGATTCGTTGTGTATTCAATCCGTCCCAACGTATCTCTACTACTAATAGCGGTTCTAGCTGGGCTGCTCTCATGCGCGTTACATTTTTATTATTATGTACAGACTAAAATATAAAATGCAGTAAAGAGGGTTTGGGTGATCCTGGCACAGTATTATCATTATCATTACGTACAGATTACAATATTATAACAAATGCAGCAAAGAGGGTTTGGGTGATCCTGGCACAGTCAGGCTGGTTAGGCACATCATCAGCAAAGGGCCCTTGCCCCCTCTACACGCAGCCCAGACACAGAATGGGACTATTTGCCAGGAAGCGCTGCCTAGTCAAACCCACCCAGAAAATTTCGGAGAATGTGACGACTCCCCAACACTGCAGCCTTCTGCATTACCCAGATTGTCGGAAGGGCTGTATTCCTGGTGGCAAACCCGGGTACTCTCCCAAAGTCAGTCAACAGATTGGGAGGTACCAAACCTAAGGCACCGAGAACAATGGGGAGTCGGACAACTTGGTACTTGGGATGCAAGCGTGACATTTCGAAAGAGAGGTCTGCATATTTGCCATGCTTTTCCTGAATTTTGTCAATCACATTAGTGTCAAAAGGAACAGAAAATTCAATAATATAATTGATTGCATTAGATTTATCAAAAAGGACAAGATCAGGTTTGTTGGCCTGGATACGTCTGAGGCTGTAAACGGGCCTATTCCAAAGAATTTGTATTTGTCATTTTCCATGACGCCCCCATATATTCTGGGTCGTACCATGGATGGACCTCTGCGTCAAAACGACAAGAATTGCAAAGACGGTAATAAAATGATAGAGTCACTCAATCATGTCGCTTAAAATACTGTTTTTGTGACAAAGCTGGGCATACACTGACAATGTGTTGGGCAGTCTCATTGAATTCATTACATAATCTACATTTTATATTTACATTTTGATGCAAAATCACACATTGACGGTTTCGAGTGGGAAGTGACTGGTCCTGAGCAGCAAACAGAACGGTTTCTGTTTCACATTTCAGGCCAGCCGACTTCATCCCAGTGAAGGACTCTGCAGGGTTGCTGATCTTCTCAACACATTGCACATAAGGTCGATGCAGCCTCTCAGACAGCCTCTCCTTGAAAAACTGGGAAAGTCTGGGCCTTTCAGTTTACTCTGTGAAAACTTTGGCTGGTGGGGGTAACCAAGTGGTTAAAGTGTTCGCCCGTCACGCCGAAGACCCGTGTTCGATTCTCCACATGGGTACAATGTGTGAAGCCCATTGCTGGTTGTCCCCGTCGTGGTATTGCTGAAACAATGATGAAAGCGGGGTAAACTCTTCATCACTTAGGGCTGTCCCCCAACATTAGGCTGATATTCCGTGATATAACTGGAAAAGTGTTTAACGCGGCGTTAAACCCAACTCTCTCACACTCTTTTTAATCTGTAATCGTTATAGTCTTCTCTAAATAAGAGGAGAAAGTATGTACACGTGGGTGTTAAAGGGGAGGTAGTCACCATACCGTGCTGGTGGATTTCGTAAAGGTCTAAGCCCTGCATCACTTCAGGCTTTCCTCTCACATCAAGCTGATACACAGTGATATCACTGAAATACAGTTCACAACGGGGTTAACCAATTTGACTCACTCACTAATTATATACAGACAATATTCACACCATATGTACTTATTACAACGCCCAGACTAAGACTGGGAATCAGGGGAACATATATAGTAATCTAAACACACACCAAGACTTGACCAGCACTGACCTCCACATTGCTGCGCATGTACTGGCCAAGGACACGCGTTACAGTTATGACAGCAGCAGGTAAACGGAAGAGATATAAAGGACATTGCATGCCTCGAGTGAAACGTGTTGGGGTCGGGGCTGGGAGATGTGAGATATTTTTACGAGTGATGCATGCCTCTTTTTTCCCCGTCACGAGATCAGAGAAGAATGATGATTCAGGAGACACTTGGAATATCCTATTTATTACGTACTTTTTGTTGAGTTGTCTACCGGAAAATTAAATTATTTAATTACAAATGTAAAACCTTTCAACATAAATTCTTCCTACCTAACACTCAGGGACGTTTCACCACCCCTTGTAATCGCGACTTCAAATGTAGTTCGTGTTTCCAAAATCTTTAAAAATATAAACAAAATGACAAACAATATAGAGGTCAATACATTTCTTTATCATACATTTGGATATGATTATATACAAAATTAACATCAACAAAAATATTCTTGAAATCTACGATACCATTGTTGTTTGAAGCGTTTGAATACACGCTGGTCAAGAAACAAATTTGGCGCTTTGCCAAACGACCATTCTCGATTGACGAGTTCAATGATACATTGACGATTTACAAGAAATCATTTTCACGAAAATAACAAACGCTAAGCACCGATATTAACAACATAAATGATCATCTGTCATTATTTGACTTGTCAATGTGGAACTAGCGTAAATAGGTGTATGGTATCTCTTAAAAGACACTGAAATATCAAGTGTTATTTTCATTGCAATGAATATCACTTTTCGCAACTTCAGAAAACTCGTGATACAGCTAAAATACTTTTCATTGTCGCTTTAAAATAAATACATTATTGAATCAGCCATACATTTACAAGCGGAATGTTTTTTACATTTCACTTTAAATGTGTGTGAATGATCGACGTTTATGGAAATGTAAGACTTGAACGTCACAGGCCCCCCAAAAGTATTATTAATAGTATTGTAATTCCCTCCAAGTGAACGGTAGGGTATGTACAGGCACAACCTTTCACTTACTGTTTACTGTCAGGACACGGTACGTTTGCGGAATGACTGTGGTACGGGTTTTTTATTTTATGGTAGTTTGAGGAATGACAGTGGTGTGTTTATAGAGTTTAACGCTG